TCCGAGATAGTTTTAGTTCACTTCTACTAGTTAGTACATGTGATACTAAAAGCAACTAACAATTTCAAACTTTCCCTAACTGCACAACACTAGCGGACATAATTATAAACTTGGCCTTGAGTTTTTTCTACTAACCGATTTTGAACAATTAAGTGCCATTTAGCCTTAAAATAAATTCATTTAAATACGTGACTTTTTTCTACCCACTTTAACTCTGAGATAAATTACACACTTCTTAAACACATGTACAGAAATTAAGATATTAAGCTAAAAAGATCTCTGTCACATTCCAGCTAACATCTTTCTTCGCTCTCATTAAAAAACACATACATACATACCTGCTCCACATTGTCTGGCACAATTGAATTTCTGCTCATTGCCATACTGTTCGCGATTACTGGCACAAATTGGATTAAACTCTGAGGTCGTGGGACATCTACTAAAACAGTCCAAGAATTGAGGTGTAGGCGTAGTAGCTGCGGGCAATAAATGGTACCATTGTGGGTACAGCTGGTTGATTATGACAAAAACAACGGAGTTTCCGGGTGCGCAGTTGTTGTGGCAAACACTAACTGTTGCCCAGGACCTAACCAATTTTGATTGTTTAAACCGCTACCTTGAGAATTGATATTGTTCTGTCTTGGGAAATTACCAAATGGTCTTAATGATTGAACTGGAAATCTGGCTGAAATTGTTGTTGTGTGAATTGGATGCAGCTGCAAACAATTACAATAAAGATGACTGAGAAAACTGCAAATAATAAATCAAATATTTAATATTGTTTACACATTGCTGTTGATTGTTTCATTTTAATTAGTTGTTAGGGTAACAAATATTACTTTTGTTTAAAACACAATACCGGCAACATTTTTGGTGTGTTGTTACTGCGAATGTATCTAAAATTCAACTGAATCTTTAAGAGCGATGCTAGATGAATCTTTATAGCATTATGATTAGGTTTTATATTTTGTGTTTAAATTTAAACTGTAGTTATTTACCTGTGTGTTTTTTTTTTCATTCGGTTTTTTTTAAATTGTGAATCATAGTGGTCATTCATATAAAAAATATATTAAAGCAAAATCCAATTTAATCAATTGTTTATGAGTAGCAGTTCATTCTCCCGGTTTTTAAGACTTAAATAATGTTTAACTAAATCCAGTTTAAATTTTTGCGGTTTTTTAAAAAGTATCGATCCCATATTTGTTTGTTTTTAACGTTGATCAAATATGTTTTTGATATTTTGCATTTTTATGAATACATTAATTCGTCGACATAAACAAAATATTAACGGGGGATTAAATTTTAAATCAATATTAATATTTAGTTTTATTTTGATTAATAATTGCAATAAAATTATGGTAGGTCAAACTCGTTTTAAATGTAACCCTACATTTTGCATATTTCAAACATAATTAATGTGCACAGTGGGGCAGACGGGCAATGAAATGGTTGTTAATTAAAAAACTGTAAAACTTTTGAGTGTACCACAGACCTATGTAGTTTCGTTGAGTTTATCGTTAAACTCTACTTTATATCAAGTTTATCAAGTTTAGTTCAGATCTGGTTCAGTTCTAGTTTAGTTCTAATACAGTTCTAGTTCAGTTCAGTTTAAACCTAGTTCAGTTCTAGATCAGTTTTAGTTCAGTTCTAGTTCAGTTCTAGTTCAGTTCTAGTTCAGTTCTAGTTCAGTTCTAGTTCAGTTCTAGTTCAGTTCTAGTTCAGTTCTAGTTCAGTTCTAGTTCAGTTCTAGTTCAGTTCTAGTTCAGTTCTAGTTCAGTTCTAGTTCAGTTCTAGTTCATTTCTAGTTCATTCTAGTTCAGTTCTAGTTCAGTTTCTAGTTCAGTTCTAGTTCAGTTCTAGTTCAGTTCTAGTTCAGTTCTAGTTCAGTTCTAGTTCAGTTCTAGTTCAGTTCTAGTTCAGTTTAGTTCAGTTCTAGTTCAGTTCTAGTTCAGTTCTAGTTCAGATCTAGTTCAGTTCTAGTTCAGTTCTAGTTCAGTTCTAGTTCAGTTCTAGTTCAGTTCTAGTTCAGTTCTAGTTCAGTTCTAGTTCAGTTCTAGTTCAGTTCTAGTTCAGTTCTAGTTCAGTTCTAGTTCAGTTCTAGTTCAGTTCTAGTTCAGTTCTAGTTCAGTTCTAGTTCAGTTCTAGTTCAGTTCTAGTTCAGTTTCTAGTTCATTCTAGTTCATTCTAGTTCAGTTCTAGTTCAGTTCTAGTTCAGTTCTAGTTCAGTTCTAGTTCAGTCTAGTTCAGTTCAGTTCAGTTCTAGTTCAGTTGTTCAGTTCTAGTTCAGTTCTAGTTCAGTTCTAGTTCAGTTCTAGTTCAGTTCTAGTTCAGTTCTAGTTCAGTTCTAGTTCAGTTCTAGTTCAGTTCTAGTTCAGTTCTAGTTCAGTTTCTAGTTCAGTTCTAGTTCAGTTCTAGTTCAGTTCTAGTTCAGTTCTAGTTCAGTTCTAGTTCAGTTCTAGTTTAGTTCTAGTTCAGTTCTAGTTCAGTTCTAGTTCAGTTCTAGTTCAGTTCTAGTTCAGTTCTAGTTTTATTCTAGTTCAGTTCTAGTTTTATTCTAGTTCAGTTCTAGTTCAGTTCTAGTTCAGTTCTAGTTCAGTTCTAGTTCAGTTCTAGTTCAGTTCTAGTTCAGTTCTAGTTCAGTTCTAGTTCAGTTCTAGTTCAGTTCTAGTTCAGTTCTAGTTCAGTTCTAGTTCAGTTCTAGTTCAGTTCTAGTTCAGTTCTAGTTCAGTTCTAGTTCAGTTCTAGGTCAGTTCTAGTTTTGTTCTAGTTCAGTTCTAGTTCAGTTCTAGTTCAGTTCTAGTTCAGTTCTAGTTCAGTTCTAGTTCAGTTCTAGTTCAGTTCTAGTTCAGTTCTAGTTCAGTTCTAGTTCAGTTCTAGTTCAGTTCTAGTTCAGTTCTAGTTCAGTTCTAGTTCAGTTCTAGTTCATTTAGTTCAGTTCTAGTTCAGTTCTAGTTCAGTTCTAGTTCAGTTCAAGTTCAGTTCTAGTTCAGTTCTAGTTCAGTTCTAGTTCAGTTCTAGTTCAGTTCTAGTTCAGTTCTAGTTCAGTTCTAGTTCGGTTCTAGTTCAGTTCTAGTTCAGTTCTAGTTCAGTTCTAGTTCAGTTCTAGTTCAGTTCTAGTTCAGTTCTAGTTCAGTTCTAGTTCAGTTCTAGTTCAGTTCTAGTTCAGTTCTAGTTCAGTTCTAGTTCAGTTCTAGTTCAGTTCTAGTTCAGTTCTAGTTCAGTTCTAGTACAGTTCTAGTTTAGTTCCAGTTCAGTTCTAGTTCAGTTCTAGTTCAATTCTAGTTCAGTTCTAGTTCAGTTCTAGTTCAGTTCTAGTTCAGTTCTAGTTCAGTTCTAGTTCAGTTCTAGTTCAGTTCTAGTTCAGTTCTAGTTCAGTTCTAGTTCAGTTCTAGTTCAGTTCTAGTTCAGTTCTAAGTTCAGTTCTAGTTCAGTTCTAGTTCAGTTCTAGTTCAGTTCTAGTTCAGTTCTAGTTCAGTTCTAGTTCAGTTCTAGTTCAGTTCTAGTTCAGTTCTAGTTCAGTTCTAGTTCAGTTCTAGTTCAGTTCTAGTTCAGTTCTAGTTCAGTTCTAGTTCAGTTCTAGTTCAGTTCTAGTTCAGTTCTAGTTCAGTTCTAGTTCAGTTCTAGTTCAGTTCTAGTTCAGTTCTAGTTCAGTTCTAGTTCAGTTCTAGTTCAGTTCTAGTTCAGTTCTAGTTCAGTTCAAGTTCAGTTCTAGTTCAGTTCTAGTTCAGTTCTAGTTCAGTTCTAGTTCGGTTCTAGTTCAGTTCTAGTTCAGTTCTAGTTCAGTTCTAGTTCAGTTCTAGTTCAGTTCTAGTTCAGTTCTAGTACAGTTCTAGTTCAGTTCCAGTTCAGTTCTAGTTCAGTTCTAGTTCAATTCTAGTTCAGTTCTAGTTCAGTTCTAGTTCAGTTCTACTTCAGTTCTAGTTCAGTTCTAGTTCCGTTAGTTCTAGTTCAGTTCTAGTTCAGTCTAGTTCAGTTCTAGTTCAGTTCTAGTTCAGTTCTAGTTCAGTTCTAGTTCAGTTCTAGTTCAGTTCTAGTTCAGTTCTAGTTCAGTTCTAGTTCAGTTCTAGTTCAGTTCTAGTTTCTAGTTCTTCTAGTTCAGTTCTAGTTCAGTTCTAGTTCAGTTCTAGTTCAGTTCTAGTTCAGTTCTAGTTCAGTTCTAGTTCAGTTCTAGTTCAGTTTCTAGTTTTATTCTAGTTTTATTCTAGTTCAGTTCTAGTTCAGTTCTAGTTCAGTTCTAGTTCAGTTCGTTCAGTTCTAGTTCAGTTCTAGTTCAGTTCTAGTTCAGTTCTAGTTCAGTTCTAGTTCAGTTCTAGTTCTGTTCTAGTTCAGTTCTAGTTCAGTTCTAGGTCAGTTCTAGGTCAGTTCTAGTTCTAGTTCAGTTCTAGTTCAGTTCTAGTTCAGTTCTAGTTCAGTTCTAGTTCAGTTCAGTTCTAGTTCAGTTCTAGTTCGGTTCTAGTTCAGTTCTAGTTCAGCAGTTCTAGTTCAGTTCTAGTTCAGTTCTAGTTCAGTTCTAGTTCAGTTCTAGTTCAGTTCTAGTTCAGTTCTAGTTCACAGTTCAGTAGTTCTAGTTACAAGTTCAGTTCAGTTCCAGTTCAGTTCTAGTTCAGTTCTAGGTCAGTTCTAGTTCAGTTTCTAGTTCAGTTCTAGTTCAGTTCTAGTTCCAGTTCTAGTTCCGTTTCTAGTTCAGTTCTAGTTCAGTTCTAGTTCAGTTCTAGTTCAGTTCTAGTTCAGTTCTAGTTCAGTTCTAGTTCAGTTCTAGTTCAGCTTCCTAGTTCAGTTTCTAGTTCAGTTCTAGTTCAGTTCTAGTTCAGTTCTAGTTCAGTTCTAGTTCAGTTCTAGTTCAGTTCTAGTTCAGTTCTAGTTCAGTTCTAGTTCAGTTCTAGTTTCAGTTTCTAGTTCAGTTCTGTCAGATTGGTTCAGTTCATTTCAACTACAGCTCTAGTTCCGTTCAATTACAATTTGAAAGAAAACAATAACTTTTTCGTGTCGGAATTATTTATTTAACCCATAATTATTGCATTATAAGGAGTCGCTGTTATTTTCTCTCCCGGCATGTCATACATGGGCGATATATATTTCATGGAATTCTCCCATTGTTTATAACTTGGTTGTTTCGATTGCCAGCCAACAAATCCTTTAAAATATATAGACATTAACTTTTCAAATTATATTTTATAATTTTCCTTCATACCACTTGAAGTTTCTGGTAATTTATTTATGGCCATATTCTTCTCATTTGTATTTGTATTTGCATCATTAAACAAATATTTGTTTTGTTGAGTTTGCAAAACATTAATCAAATGTAAGCCACTACGTGGTCGACCACAACGACAGACAGCCACCAGTGATTTGTGCATTTCCGGTGAAACAAAATATGAATCACCCTCATTAGAATAGTTAAATGGACATGTTTGATCTAATTATTTAGAAAGTATAAAATTTGTGCTTTACTATGAACATAATTTTTTATATTTAATTTTATTTTAAATACTTATGTACCTATCAAATCTGCTTTCAATTTGTTATTAATTTTAGTTTGATTATACATTTCATTCCAGGGAGTTTCATCGTAGAATCGTGACCACTTTTTGGGATAATTTCGTCGTGATTTATACTCTGTTTCAATTTGCTCTTTGCTGGTAAGTGAATAATAGTTTATTTTTAGAAAAATGTTTTATTTGATTTAAAATAAGAGTTACATATCTGCATCAATTTATTTATTTACTGTCTATGTTATAAGTAAATATTGAAATTTATAGTTTGTTTCCGTTTGCCAGATGTTTTACATCCGCCGGATATTGTTTTTATTTATTTCAGGTTGTAGTTGACTTTTTTTATTGTATTTTGTAAAATAAACATATAAATTTAAAAACATTTTCTTTTCTGTGAGTTTGAATTGTTTATTTACTTACATTTTACCAATTTTTTTCACTGGATCCGTATTCATGTTGTTTGATTTCGTTGTTGCTGTTGGTATCTTATCCTACTATTTGTCGATTATGGAACTCAGATAGTGTACGTTGACTGCAAATAGAATACAGGTGTACTTAGTTACTTCAGTTAGTTAAGTTAAAAGGGAAGGAAACCATGGAAACATACAATAATACATTATCTATAATATGAAAATAATGCCTTCTTTATATCTGTTAAAATTTTTTTACAAAGTTTCATTATTGTTATTTTTTATTAAAAAAGGTACTTTTTGAATTTTATATATATAAATGATTTTATACCTCCCTAACATTATTAGTTCGGTTGTCAGAATACATTCATTCATCCTTCCTTACATGTGTTGGTGACTGCAGCAGACTTATTTTTTTTTCTGGTTTGGCAACCAAAAGTAAACAAACTATATTTTTAGCCTAAAATCCCTAATTTCAATAACAAATTTCACACAGATATCTACATTGTACATAGATAACTACGAATAAGATGTTTAGTGAAACAAAATTAAGTACTAGAACTGAACTAGAACTGAACTAGAACTGAACTAGAACTGAACTAGAACTGAACTAGAACTGAACTAGAACTGAACTAGAACTAAACTAGAACTGAACTAGAACTGAACTAGAATTGAACTAGAACTGAACTAGAACTGAACTAGAACTGAACTAGAACTGAACTAGAACTGAACTAGAACTGAACTAGAACTGAACTAGAACTGAACTAGAACTGAACTAAACTGAACTAGAACTAACTAGAACTGAACTGGAACTGAACTAGAACTGAACTAGAACTGAACTAGAACTGAACTAGAACTGAACTAAACTGAACTAGAACTGAACTAAAACTGAACTAGAACTGAACTAGAACTGAACTAGAACTGAGCTAGAACTGAACTAGAACTGAACTAAACTGAACTAGAACTGAACTAGAACTGAACTAGAACTGAACTAGAACTGAACTAGAACTGAACTAGAACTGAACTAGAACTGAACTAGAACTGAACTAGAACTGAACTAGAACTGAACTAGAACTGAACTAGAACTGAACTAGAACTGAACTAGAACTGAACTAGAACTGAACTAGAACTGAACTAGAACTGAACTAGAACTGAACTATAACTGAACTAGAACTGATCTAGAACTGAACTAGAACTGAACTAGAACTGAACTAGAACTGAACTAGAACTGAACTAGAACTGAACTAGAACTGAACTAGAACTGAACTAGAACTGAACAGAACTGAACTAGAACTGAACTAGAACTGAACTAGAAACTGAACTAGAACTGAACTAGAACTGAACTAGAACTGAACTAGAACTGAACTAGAACTGAACTAGAACTGAACTAGAACTGAACTAGAACTGAACTAGAACTGAACTAGAAACTGAACTAGAACTGAAACTAGAACTGAACTAACTGAAACTAGACTAACTAGAACTAAACTAGAACCTAGAACTGAACTAGAACTGAACTAGAACTGAACTAGAACTGAACTAGAACTGACTAGAACTGAACTAGAATGAACTAGAACTTGAACTAGAACTGAACTAGAACTGAACTAGAACTGAACTAGATATTTCTTATGCGTAAGGTTTGTTTGTTATTGAAAAATGGGCAATATCGGTCCACGTTTTCACATAGCCCTTATACAAGATGCCCCCGAAAAATAGCTTTAGCAGTCATAACTCTTTTAAAAGTAGAAGTGTTATATGATCCAAAGTCCCTCTACCATATTTTATGAGGATCGGTCCATTATTGACCCTACCCCCATATAATGACCCTTTCAGAAACGTCTTTATCGTCCACTACTGGCTTAAAAATACGTGTATAGTACTTAAATTCCACACAAATAAGTTTCTTATGAGCAAAAATCTCTCTACCGAGTTTTGTGAGGATGAGTCCATAACTGACCGTACTCACCATATAAGGTAACGTTCAGAAAATGACTTTAACACTCATTACTGGCTTAAAAATACGAGTATAGCAATGAAGTTATACAATTTTCATAAGTCACATTTATAGGAACGTTAATCTTTGTACCAAATTTAATACGGATCATTAAATCATCTGCATCTTAAGCCCTATTCCAAATATCAACCTAATGTTTATGGGGAGCATTCCATTTACGGCATACGGTTTGATGGTGGGTTTATAAGATTCGGCATAGCCGAATACATATAACACTCTTGCTTGTTAGAACTAAAATTTGTAACAAAATTTTAATACATTTGTAAATATTATGCACAATCTTATTAAATCTATTGCAAATTTAATCGTTTACTATTGGATTCACAAATGATTTAGTGGATCTGATTATTTTGTATATTATTAGTAATTTAGATGTTGGCCTAACAAAGAAATATATGAACATATTTACTAGGCTTTTGTCTCTGACTTTGCTAATATTCGAAAAAAAAAGTTTTTAATTGAAAATTCTTTAATTAGGAGAAAATGATTTAATAATATGTAATTCATCTTTACTAATTAAATAGTAACTCAAAGAACACATTTGGCGGCATAAGTAAGGCATCTTTTGCTACAGCATTCATTTGAAACAAAACACCGTCCTCCAACATTTACACATATTTTATTCTACAAAAATAAAATAATACACATTAATCAAAATTATTATTTCCTAAAGTTATATATTTTTTATATTTACTTCAATTTCGTTATACGTTTCAACATTTTCCAATATTGGACTAGCTGAAGCGAGAGGACTAAAGGCGGCCAATATTGCAACAATAAGGAAAATAAAATCACAAAATTTCATTTTAAAACCTTTAACTAATTAAGAATATCGGAAATATGATGTTGACTCCAATGCAAAATTTATGTCACTGTATGCAAATTGTAGTTTTGCATTAGATTAATAAATCAAAATTTGTCTTTAAATTTGTGTACACTTGACAGTTATTCTTGAATTTTATATGCGGTAAATAAGTTTCATCACTGGTATATTGTTTCAAAATAATTAAAATTGTCGTGCACAATTTTCATGTTTAAAGGTTTAAAAGAATTATAGATAAAGCATTCGAAATATTTGCAAAAATAAATTACTTTTTAAATAATTCATTTAAAACAATATAATTAAAAAGTTTTGTAAATATCAAAAACGTGAAATTGCCAATTATATTGAGTTTTCAAAACAAATGTTTTGTTAATCGTTAAAGTGAAAAATAATTTAGGAAATTTACTTTTTGACTAAGCGTGCAAGTATTTTCTACCGATTTTCGTACCGATGACAAAGTAGATATTGACTTCATAACAAATTACTAGAGAGTAGTAAAGTAGATAGTCTCAAGCTCTCCTCAATTACAATAGCCGCATAGCGGTGACTAGAACTAACTAGAACTGAACTAGAACTGAACTAGAACTGAAACTAGAACTGAACTAGAACTAAACTAGAACTGAACTAGAACTGAACTAGAACTGAACTAGAACTGACTAGAACTGAACTAGAACTAACTAGAACTAACTAGAACTGAACTAGAACTAGAACTAAACGAGAACTGAACTAAGACTAGAACTGACTAACTGACTAGAACTGAACTAGAACTGAACTAAACTGAACTAGAACTGAACTAGAAGACTGATAACTAGAACTGAACTAGAACTGAACTAGAACTGAACTAGAAACTGAACTAGAACTGAACTAGAACTGAACTAGAACTGAACTAGAACTGAACTAGAACTGAACTAGAACTGAACTAGAACTGAACTAGAACTGAACTAGAACTGAACTAGAACTGAACTAGAACTGAACTAGACTGAACTAGAACTGAACTAGAAACTGAACTAGAATAACTGGAACTGAACTAGAACTGAACTAGAACTGAACTAGAACTGAACTAGAATCTGAACTAGAACTGAACTAGAAACTGAACTAGAACTAACTGGACTGAACTAGAACTGACAAACTGAACTAGAACTGAACTAGAACTGAACTAGAAATGAACTAGAACTGAACTAGAACTAAACTAGAACTGAACTAGAACTGAACTAGAACTGAACTATAGACTGAACTAGAACTGAACTAGAACTGAACTAGAACTGAACTAGAACTGAACTAGAACTGAACTAGACTGAACTAGAACTGAACTAGAACTGAACTAGAACTGAACTAGAACTGAACTAGAACTAAACTAGAACTGAACTAGAACTGAACTAGAACTGAACTAGAACTGAACTAGATCTGAACTAGAACTGAACTAGAACTGAACTAGAACTGAACTAGAACTGAACTAGAACTGAACTAGAACTGAACTAGAACTGAACTAGAACTGAACTAGAACTGAACTAGAACTGAACTAGAACTGAACTAGAACTGAACTAGAACTGAACTAGAACTGAACTAGAACTGAACTAGAACTGAACTAGAACTGAACTAGAACTGAACTAGAACTGAACTAGAACTGAACTAGAACTGAACTAGAACTGAACTAGAACTGAACTAGAACTGAACTAGAACTGAACTAGAACTGAACTAGAACTGAACTAGAACTGAACTAGAACTGAACTAGAACTGAACTAGAACTGATCTAAAACTGAACTAGAACTAAACTAGAACTGATCTAGAACTGAACTAGAACCAGAATTACGAAAAAAGTAGTTACCATTTTTTTCCGTAAAGTTAATAATTGATTATTTTCAGTGTAGAACTAAGTTAGAACTGAACTAAAAATAAATTTTGAACTGATCGAGAACTGAAGTTGATTTGTAAATTGTTGTTATTTTCTTGCATCTGCATGCACAAAAATTCGCTTTTATTTTCGAAATTATCAGAGTATGTGTAAGATTTTTGTTTATATCTTTATTTATAGACCGATTTCTGAGAAAATACTTTATAATTGAAAATGTGTTTATTTAAATAAGAGCAAATCATTTAACAATGTGTAATCCATCCTAGGGCCATTTCAAAAATTTTCGAACAAGTTTTATACCTTAAAGGGCGTTGTTTGATGTCAATATTCTTACGTTAAAACTGTAATATTTTAATTGAGATATTGGTGAACTACAACACATAGAGAATATACACTATCGGACAAAATAAAGTGCAAAAGTACTAATACTATATTCTATCAGCGACAAAATCTGTTAAATGATTATTGAATATAGAAAATTTTTTAAAATTCGTTTAGTTAATATACAATGCTACAAAAATAACAATAAAACAAAATTATTGTACTAAAAACTTTTCTGTATAACGTCAAAAATTAAAGTAAAATCACTTTTTATTCGTACAATGATATTTAGCCTTTGTTGTGTGTTTGAAGTCATGAATCTGTTGAGACATGAAGTCTCCCAAGACCATTTTTACGCCATTTATTTCAGGATTTTTATTAAAAATGCTCGTGTATTGCTCATTTGTAATTACTAACTCCATTTTCACTAAGATTCCCGCCCCTAAAGTTGAATAATGTACCAATACTGATAGCCCTCCACGCTAATGTTTAAAAACCAGGGTATTGTTTTTCAAGTTTTGTATATTAAATGGCTTACCTCTCACTCATTGTCGACATTTAAAATTTTTCGATACAAATAGGAACTCATCTGACCAACTACATAAATTTGAGCTAAAAAATACAATATTAAATACTAAAATCGGAAGAAACTTTCCGCGCTTTTAAATAAGTTATTGGAAGATTCAAGGTATGGTTCAGTTGACTCTTCGTATGTGTTAAATTTTTAACGTTAGGTGTGCGGAACCTACGGGAATGTATTCAGAAAGGTCTAGTGAACACTACGTGAGCATATTACACTCAAATCTAAAGATCAGTGCCTTAGAAATGGACTTGGGCAAATTTATATCACGGCAAGATAATAAGCTTAAGTACTTGATAAATTTAAAAAGTAACATTAATGTAGGAAAAAAAACACCGGAAAATTGGAATGTCCTGTTCAGAGCACCGCCCTAAATACAATAGATTAATTTTGGACCACAATTGATCAAAAAATTCCGATGAAATAGTGAATAAAATTGGATTCCTTTTGAAAATAATTGTATGCGGGAAAACAAGGGGAAGGGAAGGCGACTGACAATAATAATGGTAAAAAAATTGCCAAAATGGCTTAAGTAGATCCAAATATTCAAATCAGAACCAAAATAGATAAAAAGTTTTTATATACAAGAAATTTTAACAATGATATATAAAATTTACACTTTATTTTGTCCGACAAAAAAGTGAATTTACTTTAATTTTAAATTTTATACAGAAACATTTTAAGTACAATAATTTTGTTTTATTGTTATTTTTGTAGCATTGTAACTTAACTAAATGAATTTAAATAAATTTTCATTATTTAATAATCATTTAACAGATTTTTCGCTGAAAGAATATAGCATGAGTACTTTTGCACTTTATTTTGTCCGATAGTGTACATCGATAAAATCTGAACCATAAAGAATTTAGAAATTTTGGAGAAATTTAGATTTTTTTTGAAATAACCTATTAATTTTTTTGACAATAGTTAATTCAAATTTGTGATATAATAATAATTCACTTCCCCACACATTTGTGAGCATAAAAGAGGCATCTTTTGCTACAGCATTCATCTGAAATATTACAGGGCTCTCCAATAGCTTTACAGGATAAAGAATTCTACAAAAATAAAATAATTGAAATGAAAATTATTATTTCCTTAAAATAAATATTTCTTATATTTACGATAAACGGTTCGTTATATGTTTGATCAATTTCAAATATTGGACTAGCTGAAGCGAGAGGACTTAAGGCGGCCAATATCGCAACAATAAGAAAAATTAAAATACAAAATTTCATTTTAAAATCTTTAACTAATTAAGAATATCGGAAATATGATGTTGACTCCAATGCAAAATTGATGTCACTGTAAGCAAATTGTAGTTTTTCATTAGATTTATAAATCTTAATTTGTCTTTAAATTTTTATACAATTGACAATTATTTATGAATTTTATCTGCGGTAAATAAATTTCATATTGTTTCAAAATAATTAAAATTGTCGTGCACAACTTTGATGATTAAAGGTTTAAAAGAATTATAGATAACGCATTCGAAATATTTACCGAAATAAATTAGTACATATTTAAATAAACAGTATAATTAAAAAGTTTAGTAAATGTTAAAAACGTGTATCACGTGAAATTACACATTATATTGAGTTTTTACAAACAAATGTTTTTTTAATCTTTAAAGTTAAAAATAATTTAGGAAATTTAATTTTTGACTAAGCTTACAATTCGTTTAGAAAAGAAATAATAACAGTAATTTTATACCGATGACAAAGTAGATATTGACTTCATAACAAATTACTTGAGAGTAGTAAAGTAGATAGTCTTAAGCTCTCCTCAATTACAAAAACCGTATACCGGTTATTGATTAGACCTAACTAGAACTGAACTAGAACTGAACTAGAACTGAACTAGAACTGAACTAGAACTGAACTAGAACTGAACTAGAACTAAACTAGAACTGAACTAGAACTGAACTAGAACTGAACTAGAACTGAACTAGAACTGAACTAGAACTGAACTAGAACTGAACTAGAACTGAACTAGAACTGAACTTGAACTGAACTAGAACTGAACTAGAACTGAACTAGAACTGAACTAGAACTGAACTAGAACTGAACTAGAACTGAACTAGAACTGAACTAGAACTGAACTAGAACTGAACTAGAACTGAACTAGAACTGAACTAGAACTGAACTAGAACTGAACTAGAACTGAACTAGAACTGAACTAGAACTGAACTAGAACTGAACTAGAACTGAACTAGAACTGAACTAGAACTGAACTAGAACTGAACTAGAACTGAACTAGAACTGAACTAGAACTGAACTAGAACTGAACTAGAACTGAACTAGAACTGAACTAGAACTGAACTAGAACTGAACTAGAACTGAACTAGAACTGAACTAGAACTGAACTAGAACTGAACTAGAACTGAACTAGAACTGAACTAGAACTGAACTAGAACTGAACTAGAACTGAACTAGAACTGAACTAGAACTGAACTAGAACTGAACTAGAACTGAACTAGAACTGAACTAGAACTGAACTAGAACTGAACTAGAACTGAACTAGAACTGAACTAGAACTGAACTAGAACTGAACTAGAACTGAACTAGAACTGAACTAGAACTGAACTAGAACTGAACTAGAACTGAACTAGAACTGAACTAGAACTGAACTAGAACTGAACTAGAACTGAACTAGAACTGAACTAGAACTGAACTAGAACTGAACTAGAACTGAACTAGAACTGAACTAGAACTGAACTAGAACTGAACTAGAACTGAACTAGAACTGAACTAGAACTGAACTAGAACTGAACTAGAACTGAACTAGAACTGAACTAGAACTGAACTAGAACTGAACTAGAACTGAACTAGAACTGAACTAGAACTGAACTAGAACTGAACTAGAACTGAACTAGAACTGAACTAGAACTGAACTAGAACTGAACTAGAACTAGAACTGAACTAGAACTGAACTAGAACTGATTTAAAACCCACTAAGCCATACGGCTTGTCAGCAGGTGTAAAATTTAAAATAAAACTAATTTATTAATAAAAAATTCATTGCGAACTTATAAAATGTTCTTTCAGTAGTTTTTTCCTTTTAAACTTGTTGTTTTCGTTTATTATGGATACAGGTATCTTATTAAGGACTGATGGCAGGGTAACTCCAAGAGTGCTTTTACCATATTCATTTTGGAAACTTTGTACCTTCCTTGTGATCTTTTTCTTGTGTTGTACACATGATCGACTCTGCTAATGAAAAGTAAACTTGTCTAAGTACATTGTACGTTGTGCAGTAACTTAGATGACATATCGCAGTTTTCTTTGTAGATCTTCAATATGAGTTTTCCATTTGAATTTGCTATCAACATATATCCCTAGATATTTATATGCATCTACTAGTTCTATTAATGTTGTGCAGTTTTCGGCTGTTCCTCCTGGATTTTGTGATTTTTCGTGTAAGCATTTACTGTCGTGATATATGATTTTTATGGGCGTTGTTGGGATATGTGGTGGTTTAATATACATTATCTTTGTCTTTGTTGCATTAATAATGAGTCCATTATCGTGACACTATTTATTTGCGGTGTCCAGTTGTTTTTGCATCTGATGTGTAGCACAGTTGATGTCCTGATTAGAGACCACAATTGCCGTATCAGCTGCATAAGCACATGTTGATTTCCCCTGTAGGGTACTAATCATTTCATTCGCATAGATTATATATATATTGGTTCCAATTTTGAACCTTGAGGTACTCCGCAGTCGATTTCTACATAATGACTGTACTTGTTTTCTATTTTTACGCGATAACGTCTGCATCCAAGATAGTTTTTGAACCAGCTTAACGTGCTTCCTCTTATTCCTATTCTTTCCAACGTTTCTAATAGTTTGACATGTGAGAGTGTAATCAAACGCTTTACTGAAGTGCTATGAACAATACTAGAACTGAACTAGAACTGACAGAACTGAACTAGAACAGAACTAGAACTGAACTAGACTGAACTAGAACTGAACTAACTGAACTAGAACTGAACTAGAACTGAACTAGAACTGAACTAGAACTGAACTAGAACTGAACTAGAACTGAACTAGAACTGAACTAGAACTGAACTAGAACTGAACTAGAACTGAACTAGAACTGAACTAGAACTGAACTAAGAACTGAACTAGAACTGAACTAGAACTGAACTAGAACTGAACTAGAACTGAACTAGAACTGAACTAGAACTGAACTAGAACTGAACTAGAACTGAACTAGAACTGAACTAGAACTGAACTAGAACTGAACTAGAATGAACTAGAACTGAACTAGAACTGAACTAGAACTGAACTAGAACTGAACTAGAACTGAACTAGAACTGAACTAGAACTGAACTAGAACTGAACTAGAACTGAACTAGAACTGAACTAGAACTGAACTAGAACTGAACTAGAACTGAACTGAACTAGAACTGAACTAGAACTAGACTAGAACTGAACTAGAACTGAACTAGAACTGAACTAGAACTGACTAGAACTGAACTAGAACTGAACTAGAACTGAACTAGAACTGAACTAGAACTGAACTAGAAACTGAACTAGAACTGAACTAGAACTGAACTAGAACTGAACTAGAACTGAACTAGAACTGAACTAGAACTGAACTAGAACTGAACTAGAACTAGACTGAACTAGAACTGACGAAACTGAACTAAGCTGAACTAGAACTGAACTAGAACTGACTAGAACTGAACTAGAACTGAACTAGAACTGAACTAGAACTGAACTAGAACTGAACTAGACGAACTAGAACTGAACTAGAACTGAACTAGAACTGAACTAGAACTGAACTAGAACTGAACTAGAACTGAACTAGAACTGAACTAGAACTGAACTAGAACTGAACTAGAACTGAACAGAAACTGATATAGAAATTTGGATACAAATTATCGGAATTTTTCATTTTCGTGGTATATAAACTCGTTTTCAGTTTGTGTTTTTCTGTCTTTGGTGTTCCTATTTTCCGAGAAATAAAGGTTTAAATGTTTTAATCGAAATAATATGTAATTCATCTAGATTTATTTAACAATAATTAAATAATTTACGTTGTACATTTGTGGGCATAAAAGTTACAACGTTTGCCACAGCATTCATCTGAATAAAAACAGGGTCCTCCTAGAGCTTGACATTCTTTAGGTTGTTTCTACAAAAATGAAAAAATTGTTAACGGAATTATTATTTATTATAAAAATATCTATATTTTTACCTGTGGCACAATTTCATTATTAGTTTGAATATTCTCCAATATTGGGCTAGCTGCAGCGAAAGGCGTAAGGGAGGCCACTAACGCAACAATAAGGAAAATAAAAACAGAAAATTTCATTTTAAAATCTTTAACTATTTGACTGATGATGTTGATGTCTGATGAAAGATTGATGTCACTATGAGCAAATTGTATTTTGTTATTAAATTTATATAAAATAAAGTTCTTTTTTTTTAAACAGTTAAGAGCAAGTAAATAGAAATATTTTCTGCAGGTAGTTGTCGATATTGTTTTGTTTTTTTTTCAGACTTTTATCTTTAAATTTAAAAACAATTTGTTTTTTTTATATATTTTTTATTTACACAGTAATTGTGGTAAATAAATATTATTCTGGGAATTTCATCGCCAGCATTATGTTGCAAAATAATTGAAATTATTTTACAAAAATTGTTTAATGTTTTTAGGTTGAGGTTTTCGTTTAAACAGAGATAACGCATACGAATTATTTATAAACAAATATTTAAATAAATTATTTTAAACAATATAAATTATAAACGTTAAGTAAATGTTAACCAAAGTGTTTAATTAAGTTTTAAAAACAAATATTTTTAAACATTTTTTCAGTGAGATCTATATAAAATACCAGAGACTAGAATCTAGACTCCCTCTAGGGGGAGCCCTGTAACCCCTTCCTAGTTTTATTCTTGTAAATAAAACACAATTTTTTCATGATTTTTATTTAATATTTTTTATATTTGATTTAAATTTTTATTTATAATTCTCATTTCTTTTTTTCTCATTTATTTCTTTTTTTTTGTAAGTTTTGCTAGATTTTCTTTTTTCGATTTAATCTTAATTTTCCATTTTTTTAGAATTATTATTCTTTGTTTTTTTTTCCTAAAGATAAATATTAATTATTACGACAACAACAATAATAATAATAGTAATAATAATATTATTAATAATAATAATGTGTATAATTTAAATATCTGTAATTGTTGTTAATTTGATTTAAATATTGGGCATTTCTCTTGTTGCATTATTATTACTATTTCAAATATTTGTTTTTTGAAAACTTGTATTTAAAGAAAAATTTAATTGAAATAAAAAAATTGTTGATGGGAAAAATATATTTTTGATTTTTACAGTTTAATCATGGTATTCTAAAACTTACAACAATGACAAAATAATTAAAATAAATTAAACACCATTTAAATTTTGTTACAAAAAATAATAAGTTACTCGTAAATTTTCATCTAAATTTTCTTTAGTTTTGTCATTGTCTTTAAATTAAGAATTCATTTTCAATGAATATGTTCACATTTCATTGAAATTGTTTATTTGAAGAAGTCCAATTTATTTCGTTATATTAATTTTTTATATATATTTTTTTAATTTAATTTTAGTGATTAATTTAATTAAATTAATTATTTTATAATTAAATTAATTAAAATGTATCAGTCGACGGTTTTTCTATTTATTACGTTTCCTTTTTTGTTTTTTTTTTGCTAATTTTAATTTTGTCTTATTAAATAATACAGTGAAACGGAAAAGTTTTCGGACACTTAAATTTTGTAAAAATTGTAGTAGAAACTAAATTTTATAGTTGATGTTACAGTAAAATAATTCAGGGCTTTTAAACAAAAAATAAACTATTTTTAATCCAGAATTTTAAATTCAACTGAACTAGAACTGAACCAGAAGGGAACTAGAACTGAACTAGAACTGAAGTAGAACTGAAGTAGAACTGAACTAGAACTGAACTAGAACTGAACTAGAACTGAACTAGAACTGAACTAGAACTGAAGTAGAACTGAAGTAGAACTGAACTAGAACTGAACTAGAACTGAACTAGAACTGAACTAGAACTGAACTAGAACTGAACTAGAACTGAACTAGAACTGAACTAGAACTGAACTAGAACTGAACTAGAACTACTAGAACTGAACTAGAACTGAACTAGAACTGAACTAGAACTGAACTAGAACTGAACTAGAACTGAAACTAGAACTTGAACTAGAACTGAACTAGAACTGAACTAGAACTGACTAGAACTGAACTAGAACTGAACTAGAACTGAACTAGAATGAACTAGAAACTGAACTAGAACTGAACTAGAACTGAACTAGAACTGAACTAGAACTGCACTAGACCTAGAACTGAACTAGAGAAACTAAACGGAACTAGAACTGAACTAGAACTGGAACTAAACTGAACTAGAAACGAAACTAGAACTGAACTAGAACTGAATAACTAGAACTGAACTAGAACTGCTAGAACTGAACTAGAACTAACTAGAAGTGAACTAGAACTGAACTAGAACTGAACTAGAACTGAACTAGAACTGAAGTAGAACTGAACTAGAAACTGAACTAGAACTGAACTATGAAGTGAACTAGAACATGAACTAGAACTGAAGTAGACTGAAGTAGAACGGAACAGAAATGAACTAGAACTGAACTAGAACTGAACTAGAACTGAACTAGAACTGAACTAGAACTGAACTAGAACTGAACTAGAAACTAGAACATGAACAAGAACTGAACTAGAACTGAACTAGAACTGAACTACGAACTGAACTAGAACTGAACTAGAACTGAACTAGAACTGAACTAGAACTGAACTAGAACTGAACTAGAACTGAACTAGAACTGAACTAGAACTGAACTAGAACTGAACTAGAACTGAACTAGAACTGAACTAGAACTGAACTAGAACTGAACTAGAACTGAACTAGAACTGAACTAGAACTGAACTAGAACTGAACTAGAACTGAACTAGAACTGAACTAGAACTGAACTAGAACTGAACTAGAACTGAACTGAACTGAACTAGAACTGAACTAGAACTGAACTAGAACTGAACTAGAACTGAACTAGAACTGAACTAGAACTGAACTAGAAACTGAACTAGAACTGAACTAGAACTGAACTAGAACTGAACTAGAACTGAACTAGAACTGAACTAGAACTGAACTAGAACTGAACTAGAACTGAACTAGAACTGAACTGAACTGAACTAGAAGTGAACTAGAACGAACTAGAACTGAACTAGAACTCGAACTGAACTGCACTAGAACTGAACTAGAACTGAACTAGACTGATTAGAACTGAACTAGAACTGAACTAGAACTGAACTAGAACTGAAACTAGAACTGAACTAAACTGCACTAGAACTGAACTGAACGAACGATAACTGAAATAGAACTGAACTAGAACTGAACTAGACTGACTAAACTGAACTAGAACTGAACTAGACTGAACTAGAACCTGAACTAGAACGAACTAGAACTTGAACTAGAACTGAACTAGAACTGATAGAAATGAACTGAACTGAACTAGAACTGAACTAGAACTTGACTAGACTGAACTAGAACTGAACTAGAAACTGAACTAGACTGAACTAGAACTGAACTAGAACTGAATAGAACGTTACTAGAACTGAACTAGAACTGAACTGAACTGAACTTGACTGAACTAGAACTGAACTAGAACTGAACTAGAACTGACTAGAACTGAACTAGACCTGAACTAGTACTGAACTAAGAACTGAACTAGAACTTACCTAGAACTGAACTAGAACTGAACTAGAACTGAACTAGAACTGAACTAGAACTGAACTAGAACTGAACTAGAACTGAACTAGAACTGAACTAGAACTGAACTAGAACTGAACTAGAACTGAACTAGAACTGAACTAGAACTGAACTAGAACTGAACTAGAACTGAACTAGAACTGAACTAGAACTAGCTGAACTAGAACTGAACTAGAACTGAACTAGAACTGAACTAGAACTGAACTAGAACTGAACTAGAACTGAACTAGAACTGAACTAGAACTGAACTAGAACTGAACTAGAACTGAACTAGAACTGAACTAGAACTGAACTAGAACTGAACTAGAACTGAACTAGAACTGAACTAGAACTGAACTAGAACTGAACTAGAACTGAACTAGAACTGAACTAGAACTGAACTAGAACTGAACTAGAACTGAACTAGAACTGAACTAGAACTGAACTAGAACTGAACTAGAACTGAACTAGAACTGAACTAGAACTGAACTAGAACTGAACTAGAACTGAACTAGAACTGAACTAGAACTGAACTAGAACTGAACTAGAACTGAACTAGAACTGAACTAGAACTGAACTAGAACTGAACTAGAACTGAACTAGAACTGAACTAGAACTGAACTAGAACTGAACTAGAACTGAACTAGAACTGAACTAGAACTGAACTAGAACTGAACTAGAACTGAACTAGAACTGAACTAGAACTGAACTAGAACTGAACTAGAACTGAAACTAGAACTGAACTAGAACTGAACTAGAACTGAACTAGAACTGAACTAGAACTGAACTAGAACTGAACTAGAACTGAACTAGAACTGAACTAGAACTGAACTAGAACTGAACTAGAACTGAACTAGAACTGAACTAGAACTGAACTAGAACTGAACTAGAACTGAACTAGAACTGAACTAGAACTGAACTAGAACTGAACTAGAACTGAACTAGAACTGAACTAGAACTGAACTAGAACTGAACTAGAACTGAACTAGAACTGAACTAGAACTGAACTAGAACTAACCTAGAACTGAACTAGAACTGAAGTAGAACTGAACTAGAACTGAACTAGAACTGAACTAGAACTGAACTAGAACTGAACTAGAACTGAACTAGAACTGAACTAGAACTGAACTAGAACTGAACTAGAACAGAACTATAACTGAACTAGAACTGAACTAGAACTGAACTAGAACTGAACTAGAACTGAACTGGAACTGAACTAGAACTGAACTAGAACTGAACTAGAACTGAACTAGAACTGAACTAGAACTGAACTAGAACTGAACTAGAACTGAACTAGAACTGAACTAGAACTGAACTAGAACTGAACTAGAACTGAACTAGAACTGAACTAGAACTGAACTAGAACTGAACTAGAACTGAACTAGAACTGAACTAGAACTGAACTAGAACTGAACTAGAACTAAACTAGAACTGAACTAGAACTGAACTAGAACTGAACTAGAACTGAACTAGAACTGAACTAGAACTGAACTAGAACTTGAACTAGATCTTCGACAAATACTATAAGTAGTGGGTATGATTTCTATTTGAAATACTACAACAACAAAAGAAATTACTGAGAGAATTCGAAGTAAGAATCAATTTCTCGATATTTTTGGAAAATTTAGAAA